ATCAAAAATCAATTTGTTGGCACCTAACAACAATGTTCCCCTAGCCCAGTTCCAAACTGTCCATCATACACTCTGGAGAACAACAGAAAAAGGCTTGGCAAGCGGTTTTGCAAAGAGTTTAGAGAACTTTTTAAAACACACCAAAGATTTAGAATAAACTTAAAAATAACAGGCTTAATGACTGCGCCGTCACCAAGCAAATACAGATACAAATATTTGCTTAATGCAATTGTTGAATTAAATGATAGTGAAGATTACAGACATTTGGAGAGGCATTTCAACTCGTGAGCTAAATTTCTAATCGTTTTCCCATTTGCTATTAGAAAAATCAGAGCCAGAGAGAAAACTGCTAATGAACTATTCAGTAGTTAAAACCGACCCCTAAGGAACCCCCGAACATCTCTATTTATCAAAGGGGTAATTAAATTTAGGGAATAATGAGGATTCATCAACTGAGGATCTCAAAAGAGCTTAGATTCAAATATATTCTGATCTGGCTGAGTTCTCTATCCCTCGGTTTATTTACCCTTAGAAGGGGAACAGAAGCAGTTAGGAGTAGTTGCTAACAAATGCATATTTACCCCTGGCAGAAATACAGATGCTTGTTGATAATGATCATTATCCCAGACCTCGGTTTACATTTCTCCATTAACATTCCAGGGCCCAACTCCCCGGTTCCCAAAATCCTACAGGTGCTGGTCTCCGACTAAAAGACTAAACTGAGATTTGGGGAATCACTGGAGCCAACTCCATGAGACAGCAGCCGGTTTCCTGACTCCCGAAGAAGCCATTAGCCCCTTCTGCACCTCCTTTCACTTTTCACCAGGATGACACCCAATCTTTGTGATAAAAATGCGCTCGAGGCAATCGCCCCTAAGAACTTACTTCTCTTGGACCCACCGAAGGATAAAATGTTCTCGATGCCAGCTCCTAAGACAAACACCCTTCCGCAACACCCCCCCTTCCCCTGATTTTAATCAGCTGGTTGGCTGTTCCCTGAGTGTGACTGCAGGGATTTGTCCTGGGTGTGTAACTAAGTTGGAAGTGTCTTCCTGATTTCTGAGTACCCTAACAAGGACGGCTGCATACAGAGTGGACTGAAACTATGTGTAGACAGTGACGGGACTCCGGCACCTTGGGAAAAAAGTAATCCTCTACTTGGGGAGACTGGTCTATGATCTCTATGACCCCTTCCAGCTCTATAGCTCACAATCTGCTCCACAAGACAGGCTGAACTGTGTGAGGTCACTGAGAGATTCAACAGAACCATTCTGCTGGAGAAAAACCAAAAAACCAAACCCACTGCCGTCGAGTCAGTTCCAAGTCAGAGCCAGGTTTCTTCAGGCAACGCGTCCACCAAGAAATGTTAAAACAATGCATCTTCCAGTTAAATATATTGATGGTACCATAAATTACACCTCATATTTGGTTTTCAATAACTGACTTTCTAACATTTACGAGAGGTAGTTGCTGAGTTCTAAATGGCAAAATATATTTCCATTCTAATGAGGATGACCGTCATCAGATTTAAAAATAAGACCAACATGTTATATACTAAATTAATTTTAAACATAGTCCCCATCTCACCAATGTTCTGAATGACAAATCTTTCTTCAAACGGCTTTCCTAGAGTTTAGATTTTTTTTTAATCCTATTTTAAATTTTATGACAAATTTTCCTTCAGTTTGGCTTAGAAGGAAAGGATTCCCTTTCTCAACGTCTATTAAGTGATTTAGGAGATCTATTGAAAAACTTAGGAAACTCAGAAATAGCTTTCTAAGCCTAAAAATACCGCATTTATAATAAGCAAGGGCCTGTTAAAATAAATAATTTTTTAAGGTGAGTATTCCATCAAGGTTAGAGTGTCTAATAAACAAATTACTGTCAGGTGATTATCCGCCTGATGAAGTCTCCATTTCTCAGTTTACTTGAACGCATGCTCTTCTGCCTGAGGAGATTCATATCATAAACGAACATTTGGATTACGAAATCTAAACAACATGGACTACTTAATTATGTTGAGGATTTTTCAGTTCTGTTGCTTTCTTTCCACTTCAACTTTATGAACACATCATGCACTTCTTTTAATTCGGAAGAAATTTTTTTTATCTTAGTTTTCATTATTTTACCTGACAAAGTTCACTTGTGTTATAGTTATTTAAATCTAAAATCAGCAAACCAAAGGATGAGAAAGTTCAGGAGCATAATTCCGATTTATACCCTTCACTTAATTTGAACTTTTTGTGCATTAGTTCCACCAAAAGTGTTAAATATCTACCTCTAGCCAGCAAATAAATTTATAGTTGCCTTATGGATGCCAGCAACTTAACGCTGTTTTTTTAAATGAATTTTTAAAAAGATCAAATTCATCCAATCTAGGATTTTTTACTCTAAACCTAACTCTTGAAAACAACAAAAATGCTTTGAAAGTGTAGTATTTGCAAAGCCCTTGAGAAGTTACTAATGGGATTCCCATGATCTAATACATTCAAGGCTTTAACTGAAACTGTAAACCCACTGAAGGCTTATGATCTGAAAGTATGGACTATTGTAGCCAGTTCTTACGGCTTTAATTCCACTGGCAAATCCCAGTCTCTATATTTTAACTCTCAACTACAGCAAAATCACAGCACATTTTCAAAAGAGCACTCTAAAGAAACAAAGCACTGGAATGGAGGGCAAGAAAACCACTGCCAACAATCACCTCTTCCACAAACCGCCAGGCAACTTCTGAACGCACAAGACTGAGCAAAACTACAGCCCATGAGACATGTGCAATTCATTTTTAACCTTCACAACACTACATATGAATCACTTTATTTTCCTCAGCTTTACTTCCCACAGAAGGTTCAATAAAACACAGCACTTACTCAGCCTCAACTCATGACTGGATCACTGTTTTCTGAGGCTGTTTATGACTCTTTCTCTGGCATGTTTTCTTCTATGATCCAATTCTGTGACTGCTATATGCCAGGAAAAGCTGCCTTCAAGTCAACGCATGGCACGAAGTCACTGAACGTTCCACCAGCTCGAAGCTGCGCCTAGGTGCTCAGGAGAAGTTGTTCTGTTTTGTCCTAGGAATCGCATGGAACACAATGTCTTAGCAGAGTGCGCTGAGATTTGAGAGTCAGAGGGACCCTCTCTTTTTTTTTTAAAGGGATTTGAGCTATTGCAGCAACTTATACCTCATATTTGGCTTTAAATACTGTCAACTTCATATGTTTAGGAGAGATTGTTACTGAGTTCTAAATGGCAATGTATTTTCATTCTAATGAGTTATTACTGTTATCACACTTAAAAATAAGATCAACGTGTTATATACTAAATTAATTCTAAACATATTCCATATTTGTATCAAAACAAGACTCATCATACTTCCTCTATTCAGTAAATACAGACTATTTATTCAAGGGTCTACACATAACAGACACAGATCATCCGTTGCCATAGAGTCGATTCCAGCTCATAGTGACCCTACAGGACAGGGCAGAACTGCCCCACAGGGTTTCGAAGGCCGTAATCTTTATGGAAGCGGACTACCACGTCTTTCTCCCACGGAGCAGACAGTGGGTTCAGACAGCTGATCTTTCCGTTTGCAGCCCAGCACTTAACCACTGTGCCACTAGAGCTCCTTATAACAGACACACAAATGTAAAAATATCAATACCAAGGGTATCTATCTTGTTTCATACATCTATTTGTTTCTGGTTTTATATATTTCTTGTTTTTTTAATTCAACAATACAAGTCTTGCTATATCAGGCCTAATTTCACCGTAGGGGGAAAATTGATTTTGAAAAGATATAATTAAATATTCAGTTCCTATCCAAATACATTTAGGAACAACTTGTTTCAAAAAAAAAGAAAAAACGTCACCGTATGTAAATATTACCTACTTACTGACTGCCCCATAGGGGCTTATCAGTGGAACCAACAGAAAATACAGGAACCCAAGCTTAACGTGCTAGCAGCATTTGGCCTGAATGTTCCAAAAAATGTCTTTCAAAAATACTGCCGGCTCTTCACTTTACTTTTTCGATGTAAGTATAATTTAATTAAGAATTTGTATCACGCCACTTATGCAACAAACATTCTCAAGGGTTCTTTTGGTTCGAAAGTACCGAATTTTTACCTTCAAATGAAAACATAGTAAATAACTTTACTGATAAAGACAGTTTCTTCTCTTTTTTTCTTCTCTATGTCTATGTTTCTCCAATCTAACTCCTCATAACGCCAAGGCACTTTGAAACGTGGAGTTTCTCTTGATACGCTCAAAGTTTCTTAAAAACCTTTGGGTTTATCTTCTGCATAAACCAACCGCTTTTTCAATGTTTATTTCTCTTTCTCTCTATTGGTCTTAGCTCTCTCGTAAAGAGAGGAAAGCAGATTTAAGGGCTGTTTTTATTGTTATCATTGCTGTTTTTAATCGCTGAAAACAAATGAAGGTTGACCTCCTCAGCTTTCAGCCCCAAGGCAGCATACTCCTTGACATCCTAAAGTAGGATCATTTTCAGCCAAATTCAGTGAATACTGGATTTTGCTGAGAACTTCCGGATACTGATTTACTTGCAAAATTTTCAGGCGAGATAGCAGGGCGTTGGGCCAGTTAAGCAAGGTGAGAAACAGGCCACCAAGCTCAAGTTGAAACCAACAATACCACTTCCTGAAACAATCATTTAGGCGCTGAATCAATTCAAGCGTTTGAACTTTCTGCCTGCAAAACCACAGCGGTGCAGACAAGGAAGAAACGTTCCCCTCCAAGCAGGGCACTCAGGCGTTGCGCGAGCGGCTCATTCCTAGAGGCGTGCTGCGTCCACCTCATTTCCAAGTGCGGTAACATGCCCGGTCCTTCCCCGGGGCCAGGCACCTTCGCAGTGCCCACGGCAGGCGAGTCTCATCCCCTTGCAGGGGCTCAGGAGAAAAATCCCCTAAGCCCCTTCCTCTCGCCCGGCTGTCGGAGGAAGCTCCCGCCTCCCACTAACCCTGCGGCGGCCGTCTTACCGGTGCAGGAGTGCAGGGGCTTGGGTCGCACGACCAGCGACGGGCACACTGAGTAGAGGGAGAGTTTCTCAAAGTAGTCGCAGGTCTCCTTAGAGAGGATCTCATCGATCATGAAAGTCTTGTAGCGCCGCCTGGCTGCTTTGAGCTGGCCGGGCGAGCTCAGCCGCAGCTCCGCGTGGCAGTGCATGGTGAGCGGCCCGGGGGAGGCTGGCGCGCCGGCCCCGGCTCGGCCGATCCTGGGCGGCGGCGGGGAGCGGC